AGATATTGTTTTTCATTGTCTGTAAAGGTAGTGATATTTCTTTATTTGCATGAGGCATGCTGGGAACGTTTTCATGTGTCTGTTATTTGCTCAGAATTATTTACACAACAGCAGACATGTACCAGTGTTCCGTTTCTGTGACCGCGATAAAACCCCACAAGCAAAAGCAACTTGGAAGGAAGGGTCTTACGTGGTTTACTCAGCCCCCTCAGTGTTCACAGTGAACATGGCAGGACTAAGGCCATCACTGTGGAGGAGTGCTGCCCACTGGCTTGCTCATCCTGCTTTCATAACCGACTCAGGGTCACCTGCCTGGTGGTGACTTTGCCCACGGTGAGCTGGGCCTCTTCATATCCATATTAATCCGCACAGATAGACCCACAGGCCAGTCTGATGGAGGCATTTTCTCACTTGAAGTTCCTTCCTCCCAGATGACCCCGGCTTCTGTCAAGTTGAGCTGTGCAGAGGTCCCCATATTGTTCCTGTGACATGAGACCGTGGCCTCTCCTCAGCCTCCGGGCTTGAGTGCAGTTGTCTCGTGGGCTGGCAGGCCTGGGAATGGACTCGCCGGAGGCACTAGCTCTGTCAGCACAGCTGCAGGCCACAGGATGGAAGGGAAGAAAAATGTCCCCGTGCAGGAAATGGTGACCTGACTCTGAAGAGACAGTTCTCTTCCTGCCTGAGCTCCAGGGTCCCCTCACCCCTCACAAAGGAAGCAGATTCTTTAAAACTGTGCTTGCATTGGGTGGCTTCCTCACCCGGACCAGCTGGAACTCACAGGAATGTGGCCATTAGAAGGACAGCCACTAAGAGCAGCAAGTAAAGACCAGGCAGTCTTGGGCGTGTGTTCAGCAAACTTCCCCTGTGAATCACTTTCCCTTCGCTCGGGGTTTAAGCTGCTGCAGTGTTAGGAAACACCTAGGGAGGTGGTGGAAGTCGCCAACAGCCAGATGGGGACCTACTCAGGGAGCAGGAGTGGATATCTTCAGTGACGTAGACTTGGAGGCAGGGGGGTACAGTGGCTGGGAGTCTGTGTTCTCGATGCCGGAGCGACTAGGCTAGACGCTGCATGAGACCCCCGTTTCTCCAGAATGAAAGGAGCTGATGCTAATGCCTCCGAGTAGCACTGGACACAGTGTGGACCAGTCACCTGCTACTGGCATTATGTCGCCTCTGTTTTATTGTGACTAGGAGTTAGCAATTGGAACTGAGAAGTAGACCTTCTGAGCTCAGATCCCAGCTCTCACAAATAGCTGTGGGCCTGTAGGCCCAGCCCCACGCAGGGTGGAGACGGGGCTGACCACTATCCTAGCTCCAGGTTCAGTGAGCAGAACACTACACACTACACATCCTCCTCTGCTTCTTGCTGCTTCTCTCTCTCTCTCTCTCTCTCTCTCTCTCTCTCTCTTTCTCTCTCTCGCATGCACGAGCATATATATATGGTAGGAAAAGGGTTTGGTTGATGAGTTTAGTGTATTTACATTGGGATAGAAAGCAAAATGGTTTTGTGAGTTGTACCAAGTAACTGATGTGGGGATTCTTAGAGCTTAGTGTTCTTCTGTATGTTTCTTTCCTGTGGTTTATTTCCACTCTGGAGGCAGGATGCTTCATTTACTAACTGCAAGTGCTTGGCTGTCTGCTAGTCCTGGGCTGGGCTTGGGCACGCTGGAGTAAGAACTCACCTCCCAGGAGGCCGTCTGATTGGCTTGGGAGGGTAGGAGTGCAGTGGAAAGCAAGGGAGGCTACGGGTCCCAACCTGGGAGAAGAAGCATCCACTGTTGAGTAACAATAAGCCAGCTGACCTGAGAGAGCAGTCCTGGAGGCCAGGGAGGGAGGGAGGGAGAGAGGGAGGAGGCTGGCAGGCAGGTAGGCACAGCCTAGACCACCTGGAAAACAGGAAATCCAGGGCTTCTTAGACCATCCTGGGAGTCAAAGCGACTTCACGGGGCCTTTAAAAGGGGGGTGTCATGAGGCCAAGTTGTGTACTTCAGTTATACTGGCTTCTGAAGTAGCAAGCTAGACAGTCTCAAGAGACCGCCTCTAATGCAGGGTGGGTGGCTGAAGTCGGAGTGCACGGTAACGTTGAATCCAGGCCCAGAGAGAAAGCAAGGCGACTATCAAGGGTGCCTGTCTCAGGCAAGCAGTCAGTTGAGCATTGTATTGTGCCGCATTTCCAAATAGAACCTTCCAGGCGGCGAAATTAATGCCTATTAAAGGGTCTCCAGGGACCGGAAGCTTGGTCTTCTCTTTCTCTTCACCATCTTGTTAGCTTGAATGGAGAAGTGATGGTTAGGGAATGGGTCACTGCTCTCCGGACTCTCCCTGCCCCTTCAACAGGCTTCGCTCTGTAGTCTTGTCATATTAGCCAGCAGAAAGACATCATCCCAGGATGTTTTAAGAGACTTTCGGCCTGGAAAGATGGCTTCTAGGTGGAGGTTGTGTCCCCAGCACCAGCTGTCTCCGGTCGTTCAGGGAACCATAAATCCCTTCTTGGAAGTGGGTAGAGGGACTGCATGCGGTCAGCCCAGCACTGCGGAGTCTAACATCCCGCTCTGCTGGGCGGGCTGCGCTTGTGCAGATGCCTGCAGGTGAATTGTGGATGTGTGAGAGGTCACATGCCAGGATAAAAGTGTAGGCAGACTTGGAAATCTCAACTTCAGCAGGCAGATGGAGATTGAAGCCTGAGGCCATCTTCATTGTCCCCTCTTCCCCCCCATTTAATGCTCTGTCTCGTGGGCATAATAAACCAGCTGACTTGAGAAGTCTATCCCGTCAAGACAGTTCCCCAGTCCAGCATCCCAGAGCTTTATGGCTGCACCGAAAAATAAATGACCAGAGAATCATTTCACCTCTTAAAAGTCGTTTATACTTAGGGGTTAGAGAGATGGCTCAGCGGTTAATAGCACTAGGCTGCTATTCTGGGGGACCTGGGTTCAATTCCCAGCACCCACATGGCAGCTCACATCTGTCTGTAACTCCAGTCCCAAGGCATCTGATACCTTCACACCAGTGCACATAAAATAAATTTAAATGAATTATTTAACATCATCATTTACACTTAAAGAATGGGGTGAGGTGGGATTTCTCCCTCTCTTTAAAGTGTTTGCAGAGCCACTGAAAACCTCACCTTTGTCTAAGAAGGGAGCTCGGGCCCTGGTGGGTGTGGCCTACGTTCTTTCTGCCTCCAGAGGCTGACACTCCTGCTTCTCTGCTGGTGGATGGGGCTCCTTCCCCCCAGTCATCCTGTTACAGTGTGACTGGGGACCACAGACTAGCTGCAGCCAAGCGTGGCCCTCTCCTGGCTTCTACCAGTTGGTACCGGTTGGCACGGCAGGCCGGATAAGCATGAGCTAGGTGTGAGTGCGCTAGGGCTAGGGCGTGAGACTCTCTTGACTTTTATAAAAGACATGGTGTCTTAAAATAGCCTGGTAGCTAAAATAACAACAACAACAATAATAGCTTGCCATTTCTGAGAGAGGTTTTTTAAAATTTAAGGTCCCCGTTTTTGGCAGCAGCGAGTTTCCACTAGCCAGGCTCCCACAAGAACAATTCTAATGGAAAGCAGGTGGTCCCTTCATGACCGGAAATGCAGGATCTGCAGGACTTTCAGCCCTCTGAGGGATTCCCCGAGCCTTGGGCCACAACCCAGGCCTTGAAGTAGATGCATGGACTTGGCAATTTTTGTTTATTGTTTCCCTGGCTGAGAGCACTAATCAGTTGTACACTCAGCGGTAGTGCTGGTCTCCGCCACCTTGATGCTCAGTCTGTCTCTCACCTGGGTTTTAACTGTTCTTTTTCTGTGAGATGGTGTGGGGAGGGAGGGGAGAAGGGGGGAGGTCAGCCATGGTGCATTTAGCTGGTGTTGGGAACAGCAGGAACTACCTCTGTGTGTTAGCCAACCACCCTGCCTCCTCCCCGTGCCTGTCTCATGCACACTTAATGGTTGCTCTGCAGAGCGGAGCCGCACCCAGGACACCCAGCACCGCGGTTTGCTCTCCTCCATGCTCTTCCCTTATTGGTGGTCCTGGCTAGATCCAGTGCTTCTAGGGCTGGGGAGGATGAAGGGTGACAGGCTCCTGGGAGGTGACTCTTGACCTCAGGTCACACACCCCCTAGATTTCTGGGTCATCCGGCGAGGCAGTTGCTAATGGCTTTTTACAGTCACCCCTTCCTGCCTCCCTCAGCTGTCTGGGGAAGCGTCCTCCGTATACTTGGTTTCAGATGTTGACAGGTGAGAAAAGCAAATATTGAGATTGCTGCTTTCCAGAGCCCATCAAGCAGCAGTGTTGCCTGTACCGAGCTTGCTGGTGCGCCTGCCTCTACTTTTAACAGATTGCTTCCCGGTGCACTGGGCAGTCGGGCAAGTGACCTTCCGTCTGGCAACTGCGGCTTGACCCAAATAGATTCTGAGCTATACAGAGAGTTGTTAGACCAAGCAGTCAGAGCAAACAGCTGCTGTAGACCTTCCTCTTACATCTCTCGGGAGCCTAACTTTAACTGAGACGTTTGAGATTCTTCACTTGTCTGAGTTTGTAATGCCCTAGGTGTCCTGTGTTCCCAGTATTTGGCCCTGCACTTCTGACACAGTATTGAAAGGTGCTTTATCATGGCCTGTTTGCCCGTAGCAATATTGACGGCCTGTTGGGGTCCTTCCAGTAACCCTTGTTCTCTGAAAGGCACCCAGAAGGTTCTCATGGGATGTCTCCTGCTCGCTCTCTCTTCCTCCCATCCCTCAGGGGACCACACTCTCTTCCAGCAGGAAATTCCCACTGTTGTTCGGCCCCAGCTACAGTTGGAGAAACAACCTCACTAGGCAGGGAGTACACACGAGCCTTATTTGTTCCAAACTTCCGGTTCCTTTGCTTAGAGTTTGGGGAACCAGAATGAGAGTAACTGGACCCCTGCCGTCGACCTGGGCTCGGGGTTGCTGGTGGTTGTGTCTTCTGATGTGGAAGCCACGGTTTGGGACGCACTAACTCTTGCCTATTCTTTTCTTGCAGATGAGCTCACAGTGCCTGCACTTTACCCCAGTAGCCCTGAAGTGTGGGCCCCGTACCCTCTGTACCCGGCGGAGTTAGCGCCTGCTCTGCCTCCTCCTGCTGCTGCTTTCACCTATCCCGCCTCACTGCATGCCCAGGTAATTTATCCCCCTCGGCCACCACTCCACTCACTCCACCACCGGCCCTCCGACCTGGTCCCCCAGAGCACACCACGTGACTAACACCTATCCAGCTAACAGATCCACCTTCAGTAAGTGAATGATCCCCTCCGGGACTTACGAGGACCGTCTGTCAGCCATGATCCCACCCCACTGCCTGATGTCTCCCCCAAAGGACACCTCTCTCTTCTTAATGATTTCACCCTCATCTCACACGCACAGACCGGGGCAGGCTTCCCCTCTTGGCTCCCAGACAGCAAAAAGGGCATCACAGGAGCTTAAGGGTGTGTGTGTGCGCGTGTGAGCCTGTGTGTGTGTGTGTGTTGTGAAAGGGAAGCATGTACTCGAGGCACGAGTTTTAACGTGTGTTTGGTATGCGTGTAGAAAGAGACTCCTGCTCTCTTGTCCACAGGGAGGTGAGGGACTGGAGGGAGGCTTCCAAGAGGAAGCCTGGTCCTCCGCACGGTGCAGGGAAGACTGCCGTGTGAGGAAAGGCACTTGTCAGGGGCATGTTTCTGCAGTTTCCTTGCTCAGTTAAGAAAAAGAAAAAGCCTGAGCTTTATAAACAAGCGCCTGCTTCTCCCCAAATACAGAGAGAGGCATCCCAAGTGCGTTCTCTTCCCCTGGAGGCCATGGGTCCCTGCAGTCTGCCTCGTGTGAGGGTAATAGTGAGAGCTGAGCTTCACCCTCGGAAAGAAAAATACAGATTCTGTTTGTCTTGCTACATATGCCATTCAACCTGGCCTCTTAAAAATTACCAGGCAGCCGGGCGGTGGTGGCGCACGCCTTTAATCCCAGCACTCGCGAGGCAGAGGCAGGCGGATCTCTGTGAGTTCGAGACCAGCCTGGTCTACAAGAGCTAGTTCCAGGACAGGCTCCAAAACCACAGAGAAACCCTGTCTCAAAAAAACAAACAACAAAAAAAATGACCAGGCAATCAGCTGGCAAGATGACTCATTGGGCAAAGGCCCAACAGCTTGAGTTCAAACCCCAGGACCCACGTGGTGGAAGAGAGAACTGACTTCTGCTAGTTAGATATCCTCTGCCTTCCACACGCGTGTGCAGGCAGACATGCACACTAAATAAATTCAATAAATCTTCTTAGATTGTCAGGCTCGTCAGGTGGAGTGTGTGTTCATTTTGCCTGGTATTTGTTTCCAAGACTGGATGAAACCTGTAGGTACAGCCAGTGTACCCAAGCCACCGGGTCAGGACTCCTGCAGGCACCGGTGCTTTTGGCCTGCGCTGCTCTCCCGGGCGTCCCGGCTCCAGGCAGGCAGAGCTCCAAGGGAAGCCCTTGTGTGGTGTCCTGTGCCCTGGGAACAGAAACTGCCCTCTGCGGGGAGAAAGCAGCTTGGAAAGTGAGAAGTGCAGAGGCCGTGATGGTCGCCTTGGTACAGGAAGCAAATCCAAGTCAAGAACTAGACATGCCTTCTGCCTTTCCACCCTCTGCCTGGCGTTTCTGCATCAGTGTTTGTTAACCCTCATGCCTAGGTACAGGCAGGAGCAACTAGGTTGTGGCTGTCTTTAGCGGAGTCATTAATGTTTTTGTGCTGTGGATAACTTTATTGACAACAAAGACCAACTGCAAACCCCTCTTGTGCGCCCCACACCTCATGTGCAGGTATGGCCCCTCTCGTATGGCGCAGGAGCAGAGCAACAGACAGTCGGGGGCGTTAGTGGTTTGTGCCATGAAACCATGCAAGGTTGCACAGAGTCTTTTGAGAAAGTGCGGCTTCGGGTAGAAAGCCATTCACTGCCGCCCGGAGAGTCAAGACTTGACATTGTCCAGAAAGACCTGGGAAGACTGGCTTGCTTTGGTCGTGATGTGGCATGAAATCTGGAGTGATCTGTAGGATACAGAGGGTGAAGGTTCTAACAAGGGGCTCAAGGAGATTTAGGAAGCCTACGTCACTGTGAGAAAGGATGGAGAGATTAGATGGATCGTAGCCATGTGCCTCACCCACATCGCTCCTCTTAGCTCAGCCCTCAGCCCTAGACCTGGCGGAACTCCGATCTGCTGGTGGTGAAATCCGTGTCTTGAGTCTCACTTCTTTGGACTCATTTAAATGAACAGACTCGTCCATGTTGGAGTGAACTGGTAGAAACTTTGCAGACAACTGGTCCAGCCCGTTGCACAGCTGAGGAAACGGGGACTTGCCCAAGTCACAGTGGCTCCCGGGTTCTAGAGCAGGTCTGTCACCTGCTTCCCTTGCTGACTTACACAGCAAGGTGCTGGCTTACCACAGACTTTTTCCTCTTAGTAGAATTTTGGTGAGGCCTCGCTCCAGTGACTGCTTAGGGTTTTGGAGGCCAAGATGGCTTCTGAGAATCCTCACTGGAGGGGAGCAGAGTTGGGGGCCCCTTCCTAGGTGCCTGGGGTTTTGTTTTGGAAACTTGAGTGCTTTGGAGCGTCTTCTAATTTTGCTTTTTTTATTTTTTACAATGTTGTGCTTTGTTTTGAGACATGGATTTTTTTTTTTCTTCTAGTGTTTCTCTCCAGAGGCAAAGCCCAACACACCTGTCTTTTGTCCACTTCTCCAGCAAATTAGATTTGTCTCTGGGAATGTGTTTGTTACATATCAGCCTACTGCAGACCAGCAGAGGGAGCTCCCATGTTGAATTTGTTAGCAGAACCCCCCCCCCGCCCCTTATTTTGCAAAAGAAAAGACCTATTTCTTGATGATATTTGAGAGATTTCAATAAAAATTTTAATCAGAGCAAAAAAAAATGATCTCAAGTAGACTACAGAGTTTGTGTTTTCATGGATGGCGCTGCGGTTTTGGAGCCAAGTTAACCTCTGGCTGAGGTTTGTGAGAAACTGGCCCGTAGAAGCTAGGTTGCGTGTTCCATGGGAGCAGACCCCAAAAGAGCACCCCAGAAGACTGCGCCCAGCGCCAGGCCTTCACCGATGCCGCTTCCATCCTCTTGAGCTCCGAAACCATCCCGAGCTTCATGCCAGAAGATCCTCGTGCCTACAGGTCATCGGCCACCAGAAGTTCTTGCTTCAGCACCAACAAGGCTGCCGTGTCTAGCTAGTGGACACAAGCTCCTGTAATCCCCAGCACTTAGGAGGCAGAGTCCTAGCCAGCCTGGGCTTTAGTGAGATATTCTCTCCACTCCCACCCTCTCCAAACTGGATAAAGTAACAACAGCACAGCCAGTTTCCAACATTAGTGTTTTTACATGGCCATTGCTTTGCCCCCCGGGTCTCTGATGTCCATTCTGTGCATCATCGGCTAGAAGGGGTGTGTTTCGTCTTCCCTTTCTGGAAAGGTAAAGGCCTCACACAGACCCTCCCGCCACCACTGTTCACATCCTTGCCGTTGGGTCTGACTTCATCTTGCTGTGGCAGAAAATGAAACCCGCTGGTCTCACTACAGGGCAGAAGTGGAGCCCCTGTGCCCCCCAGAGGCAGCCCCAGAGTTCTCGGGGAAATGGCTAAGAATGCCCTGCGTGCTGCTACTTCAGGGGACTCTTATTCCTGTGCCACCGTGTTCTCCAACTCATTGCTGCTGCCAGTCGCTCGCTGCAGTGAAGCCTCACCCGTGGACAGGGACAGGCACTTTGAAAATTAGAACAGACTTCCTGGGGCGTGCCCCTGGAGATAGCCAGCCCTGTGACATGCTGGGAAAATTCAGAACTTGTCTATGGGAAAAGAGCCACAGGCAAACACAGTAGAGATCACAAAGGGACAGATGGCCCCAGAGGCAGTGTGGGCATTGCAAGTTTGTGTCCATTGTCAGTATAGCTGGGCGTTTACTCAGCGGGGTGCAGCTTTTTTATTTTTCCAATTTTTATGTGCATGCATGTGGGTGTGCACGCACGTGGAGGTGTGAGGCTGATGAAGGAGCTCATTCTCAATTGGCCTGCAATCTTAATTTCTGATGTCTCCAAGCTTCAGGAACATGAGGCTAAGAATTCTTAGTTTATAAAGCTTTAATAATGTCTGGTACATCATAGTGGCTTAGTAAATGTTGGCTGTTTGGGTTTTGTGTGTGTGTGTGTGTGTGTGTTGCTTTTTAGTTTTTCTTCAGCCTTTTATTTTATTTTATTTTTTGCAGAGATAGGACGGGATAGAACATTCTAGGCGAGCATTTCACCACTGAGTTGTTTCAGCCCCCTTACCCCCCCCCCCACCACCACCACCAAATTTAGACTCTACTGGGGCCATTTCAAGGAATATTTGAACTTGAACTTTCTGCAGGAAGGAAACCTAGGACTCAGCCCAAGCTGCCCGCAAGGCAGTAGAGGTTTGAAACCTCCTTTCTGGCATGATGGGAGACATCCCTCCTTTCTGGCTGTCTGCAGAGGCTGGATGACAGACGGGAGAGACAGGCGGTAGATGTCGCCTGTGACAGCTCCTCCCAGCAGTGTGGTCCTCAGCGCCACCTCTTAGACCACTTCTCTTCCACAGCCAAGGCAGGACACACCCACTGTAGAAGTCCTCTCCTGAAAGGGGGCACCAGGACGCTGGAAATCCAGAGAGCAGCATGGTGCTTGTTGATCCACACGGCTCCCCGCTTCTGTCGGTTAAGCTGCTAAAGAGGAAAGAGAAAGGCACCTGGGTTCTGGGACCTCCCCACGCTCCTCACCTTCTGGTTCTTGACTCCAAGGTCACCTCTGGCACATTGGAAAGCTAGACTTTAGAGCTGTGACCGGAGCCCAGGGATCCTGTTCCTAGCTAAGACACCTTCTCTTCTTGTGACCCTTTCACTGTCTCAGGGTTTGAGCCCCCATCCCCATCTCCCCCCCCCCCCCCCCAAAAAAAACACCCCCCCCCCCCCCCCCCCCCCCCCCCCCCCCCCCCCCCCCCCCCCCCCCCCCAAAAAAAACACCCTAGAAATCCACTTCTTTGTCACTGGTTCAGGGATAAGAGCTCGGGGTCTCCTACAGTGGGCACAGCAGGGCTGTGTTCCTTTGATGCCTGTAATATTAGGTGCCCTGAGCATGTCCTCACCACCCCCATGTGAAACTAAACCCTGGGGTATCTGCACCTGCAGGGTTGTCCTGAGCTCTGATGAAGCCCAGGCCTGAGTCTCTGTGAGCCATGCCTCTAAATGTTCTGATGCAGTCACCTCCTCGGAGCAGTGTAGTGGGGAGGACCAGAGGTCCTACCACCCCATTAGGGCTCTCAGCAACCCATGCAGGAGAGATGGGGTCAAGCTTAGTTGTTGAGTACTCTCCTCCCATGCAGGAGGCCATGGGTTCCATTTCCAGCAACACATAAACTGGACATGGTCGCTCTTGCCTGGGATCCCCCAGCATTTAGGACGGAGAGGCAGGAAGATCACTGGTTCAAGACGCAACTCTCCCGAAAGGCAACAGTCATTTTGTTGTTTGGTTTTTGAAATAGGGCCTCACTCAGCCCAGGCTGTCCTCAAATTTGATTCTTCCTAATTACGGTTTTTGTGTGTGTGAAATGTGTGAGTTTGGATATATGTATGGTGGTGCACGCTCAGAAGTGAGAGGCAGCTTTGTGGAATCCATCCGTTCTCTCTTTCCACCTTTGCGTGAACCCCAAGGTTTGATTTTGGGTTTTCAGTCTTGCAGGGCAACCACTCTTTGCTAAACCATTTCACCAGCCCTATGAAAAGGTATTTTTTTTTTAATGACAGTTGCTACTCTGTTAAGGCTGAGGTTTTCTGCAAGTTTCTTTCATCCAAGTGACCTTCCATTTCCTTCTGTATAAATAGAAGAGTGAGCACCTGCCATTACTTAGAGAGGAAGATTACAAAAATGTGTGGCATACAGGACTTACTAAAGAGCCTTGCCACACCTTCCCTCTGCCGCCTGGTGTTGCCAGCAGCACCCGAGTGCTCCGGTGACCGGGGGAAACATGTAGAACACAGACCAGCAGGGTAGCGCCCCCGAGAGAAACCTGTGCTGAGCTTGGTTTTGGGGTACAGAACCAGCAGCAGGAGTGGGCAAGACCTCCCGGAGCTCATAGTGTGGGTGGAGAGGTTCCGTGTGGGGCCACGCTGGCCCTCCACCGTGGGTTCTAGATGCTTCCCTAGACACAGGCTTCGGGTACCATTCTGTGTGTGAATCTGAAGTTTTGGAAACCCAGAGCCAAAAGGAAACTTTGTAATTATCTAACACTAGCTCCAGAACAGGAGAAAGTGAACTTTTCCCTTTGAAGGAAACCAGTTGTGACGGGAGCAAGAGGGTGATTGACTCCAAATGGATCATGTTTTATTCAGGGTTTGTCCTGCCAGGGGGGATAGCCAGAACCCAGAGACAGGACCGAAAGTGGGACACCCCAACTTTAAGCTTCATGCATTGTACATGAGTTGTGCCCGCCTCACCGAGCGCAGCTCCCAGGGGCCTCTAATGGCCCTCGCCCTCGCTAGCAAACACAGTTAAAAATTAACAGGCTAACAGGATGAAATAGGGAGGGCGGGCAGCCACTGTGGACCGAATCTGACGCAGGGTATTACACGCTCGGGTGCCCACGACCAGAGCAGCGGCTCGGTGAACTTGGAGACATCAGAGCACCTTTCAGTGCCTGTCTGGAAACAAGAGCCGAACTTATGCTCCAACAGGAAGAGCTGAGGCCCAGGACAGAGTTAGCCCCAAGGGCTTGTGCTTGGTCCCCGGCCTGGCTGCTCTTTGAGGACGTATGTGTTCACGATCCTTGGTTTTGAGGCCTCAATGTCTGACACTGGTTCTTCAAAGGCTCCTAGGCAGGAAAACAAGTCTTCTCCAGCTGGGGCTTTTTGGTATTTCCAGATAGTGTTTGCAGTGGAGTCGAGGCTGACCTCACCCTGGCAGCAGTCCTCCTGTCTCAGCATCTCAAGTGCTAGGATTTATATGTATAAGGTACCTCTTGGCTACAGCCGAGATGTTTTTCCTTGGTCCTTTTCCAGCTGCTGGGATGAGGAAGATGATAGACCTACCGTAGCCAAGCCACACAATTCTCAGGTCCCAGGCTTTAGACACTTCTAATAGTCTAAAGCCACATTCCTGACAGAGGGTGGTGGGATCCATATGGTGTGGCCCCAGGGCAGTGCGTCGCCCCCTTAACTACTACGTGATTTAGGGAAATTTCTGTTTTCCAGATTTCTCTGTCTGTGATAGGCTGAACACTTTCCTCTTTCTAGCACAGACTAAGTCAGGGTTAGTGTTAAATATTAGGTTAGATCAAACCCCTAGAATGGTATGCAAGCTTAGGCGGGGGAGAGAGAGATTTTGTGTGTGTGTACGTACATGTGCACATGTGCACATGCTTCTATGGGGCAGGAATGGCCGGGATGATCCGTGAAGCCAACTCTTCTTCCATGGTGTGGACTTAACTGTTCCTGAAGAGCTGACTTTGAGGAAGTCTGGGGAAGCCACTGGTCCTAGCAGTGGTAATGAGGAGTCAGAAGCATTTTGTCCAGGGCTTGGACAGGAGTGACCTGGGGCCACAAGCTTCAGCAGAGCAAACAGCCCAAACGGGGGTAAAGGTTAACCTTCTCCTTGCCATCCTCCAAACAGTACAGTGATTAGCACGAAACAGCTTGTCCTCCTGGGCTAGCTGCCCACACTCCAGGTTGTGCCCCTCGGACGCTGCCTCTCTCTGGTTACTCAGTTTGGCCTGGCAGGCACTGCCCCCTGCTGGAAGGTGGGTTGCCTCAGGTATCTGGAGTGCAGCTCACTGTGGATGAGCTTTGGGAGTCCATCTTTTCTCAGTCAGCTACCGTGTGATCTTGGGTGTGTGTGCACGTGTGTGCATGTGGGGGGTGGGGAGGGGGAACGCCGGAGCCAGAGGCGGCTAGAGAGGCAGACAGCCGGCGAGGAGGCCTCTCTCTTCACAGCCACCCTCACCAGTCCCAGATCCATGCCATCTGCCCTGCAGCTCACTGTCCCCCCGCCAGCCCATTCCTGTGTCCCCTCAGTGAACACTATCCCTTCAGCCTCAGGGCCCTACATCCCCACGTCACACCCAGGCCTCACAACTGCCACCACCGCTCCACACTGACCCAGTGCACACGGACCATTTTAGGTTTAGGTTCCCAGCGTCCCCTGCCTGAGGGCCCTGGCCCCTAGGCCACCCTTTCCCAGCTGACTTGGAAAGGCAGCTCCAACTTTGCTCTCAGACGATCGAGCCGTGAGCCAAGGGTAGGTACTGGTTTCTTTGGTCTCCAGCCCCTCCACCCCTCTGCTTCTGTGCCTTCCGGCACCACCAACCCCCTCCCCACTCCCACCCCTACCTCACCCAAGCCAACCCTCCTCCCCAGCCTTCCCACATTTTTTCCTCATGATTTTGTTAGCTCCCTTGGTTCTATAGAAGATACTCAGGTATGAGTCTTTAGTCTGTCTTCAAGGACAAGTTTCTGATCCCTCCAACCTTCCTGCCGTAAGTGGTGGCAAACATGCTGGCCTGTCTTTCAGGAAGGACCCGTGGGGGCTCTGAGGACTCTCAGGCAACGTGGCTTTACCCCCAAAGGTTTTGGTCCTCTGGCCTGCTGGTCTCTGCTTTCTGGAAATATCTGATATGGTTCCCAGAGGACACCCCATACACAAGGGGCACCTTAAGGTAGATGCCGATGCCCCAGAAGCTCTCAGCGTTTCCTTCAGTTTTGTTAGAGCCGCATATGCCCCAGTCAGAGCAGAAGTCTCCACCCTAAGTTGGCCTAGTAGGCAGGGTTCCCCAGTTGGCCTTCCTGCCCTACGCTGACAGCAAGGGTGTGTGGGAGTCCTTCACTTGGCAGGAAACCCCAAGGACTGCTTGGGGACCAGCGCGAAAGTGCAAGAACTAACTTCTCCCCAGGACCCGATCCCTTGGCCTTTCAGCCCTTAGAGTCAGGGCTTCTACGTCCTGAGCTGGACTCTGGGACAGGGCAGTTTTCCCCAAACCCCAAGTCCCCGGAGTCCTAGGGTTGTCTGTAATTTCCCTCTGGCCCCATGGCACCTCCCCATCAGCCAAAATGGCTCCTGCTACATCTTGGTGTTTGATGCTAAGAGATTCTCCTGCCATGTGCCAAGGTTCCATCAAGGCTTCCCAAGCGCCCCCTTGTTGCTGTCATTTGCATCTCTTGTTTCCAGCATCATCTTCCCTGTGGCTCACTGTTCTCAGAGGAGTGAGTAGAATAAGCCCTGCTCTCTGGAAAGAGGCTGGAAGATCAGGAGTTCAAGGCTAATTTTTTTGAAACTTTTACTCATTTTTTTTTTTTTATGTATGAGTGCATTATGTGTATACCTCATGCCAGAAGAGGGCATCAGATTCTATTATAGATGGTTGTGAGCCACCTCCGTGGTTGCTGGGAATTGAACTCAGGACCTCTGGAAGAACAGCCTAACTGCTGAACCTTCTCTCCAGCCCCTCAAGGCTAATCTTGGTTTCATGGTGAGTTAGAAACTGGCCCACAGGTGCCCCACAGGCTACAGACAAAGCTGGGATTGTCCAGTGTATGGTATTTAAGAATGCAAAGCTCAGCCGGGCAGTGGTGGAGCACGCCTTTAATCCCAGCACTTGGGAAGCAGAGGCAGGCGGATCTTTGTGAGTTCGAGACCAGCCTGGTCTACAAGAGCTAGTTCCAGGACAGGCTCCAAAACCACAGAGAAGCCCTGTCTCGAAAAAGCAAANTTGAAGAGCTGACATGCTAATTAGAAATAAAAAAAAAAAAAAAAAACCAAAAAAAAAAAAAAAAAAAAAAAAAAAAAAAAAAAAAAAAAAAAAAAAAAAAAAAAAAAAAAAAAAAAAAAAAGCAAAGCTCGTGCCTTTCTTGTTGTTGACCTTCTGTGTGACATGGGACCCAGAGCCTTCTGACGGG